AGGCTCATACAATAAATAATTTTTTACATGTTACCTTAATCTTTACAGTTCAGCGTCTTTTTTCATTGAGTAGACATACATTTTTCTTTTTATTAATAATATTCAAAACACAAAACATCTAAACTTCGTTAAATTGATCGTTATTATTTAAGTTCCTCAACAAAACTGTTTCAATCTAGACTAGTGTTTGTTAGCCTAGATATCATCAGTTATTTTTTAAGTCTTAAAGCGTATACTTACAAATAAAATGTGTTAGTTCCGAAAAAATTTAGCAAAAATCATTTATATCTCGACTACTGCAGTCAAAAAGAAGAGTAAAGATAATTTTTTTGAAACTTTTTTTGGTTACTATACATGAAAAATTCAATTCTTTTTTACCAAAACTCGATTGTAATAAACCTGACAATAATTCTGTTTAGCTTTTAGTTGCCCATTTTTACTGTCGCTTACAATTTTTTATATATGTAAAAAGAAATTTTTCCTACTTTATGGATTAAATCGTAGTGTAAAACTATAAAATTTTAAAAATAGATGAATATAACTAAAGCTAATAAACGTTTTCTTTCTAGTTTTAAAGCGTATACTAACAAATAAAATATTTAATGTACAATAGTTTCTAGCAAATATCATTTATATTTTAACGACTGCAGTCCAAAAAAAGAGATAAATCATTTTATCCCAACTTTCTTTAGTTACTTCACGTGTAGAATACAATTCGTTTCTATTATAATCCGATTGTAGTCAACATTACATCTTTTCTGTTTTGTTTTTAATGGCACATTTTTACCGTCGCTAATAATTTTTCAATATATTTAAAAGAATTTTTCCCTACTTTATGAATTTAATTTTAGTTAAAAACTATAAAACTTCTGAAAAAGTGCTATTTACCAGAAGCTATAAAACGTTTTCTTTCAAGCTTTATAGCATATAACTACAAATAAAATTTTTTACATCAATAAAATTTCGCAATCATCATTTATATTTTGACTACTTTAGTCAAAATAAAGAGAAAAAATCATTTTATAACAAATTTTTTTGCTTCTTACACGTCAAGATATCAATTCATTTTTAACGAAACACGATTGTAATAAACCTGACATTCATTCTGTTTAGTTTCTAGTAGACCATTTTTACAAGCGCTAAAAATTTTTCAATATATTCGAAATAAAATTTTTGCTACTTTCTGGAATGAATCAAAGTTAAACCTATAAGATTTCTAAGAAAGTGCTATATAACCAAATCTATAAAACGTTTTCTTTCAAGTTTTAAATAGTATACTAAAAAATAAAAAATTTAATGTACAAAAATTTCTTGCAAATATCATTTATATTTCAACGACTGCAGTCCAAAAAAAGAGAAAAAATCATTTTATTATAACTTTGTTTAGTTACTTCACGTGTAGAATACAATTCGTTTTCATTAAAATCCGATTGTATTTCACCTAACATCTATTCTGTTTGTTATTAATAGCACATTTTTACCGTCGCTAAAACTTTTTTAATCTATTAAAGAAAAGTTTTCGATAATTTGTGAATTTTATTGTAGTTAAAAACTATAAAACTTCTGTATAAGTGCTATATAATAGACAATATGAAACGTTATCTTTCAATCTTTAAAGCGTATCCTTATAAATAAATAGTGTTTAGTCCGAAAAAATTTACCAAACATCAATAATATTTCGACTACTGCGGTTAAATAAAGAAGAAAAAATCATTTAATTACAACATTTTTTGGTGACTTCACGTGTAGAATTTAATACTTCTTTAACAAAACTCGATTGTAATAAACCTGACAAGTATTCGGTTTAGTTATTTGTAGCCTATTTTTACTGTCGCTAAAAATATTTCAATATATTCTAAGAAAAATTTTCGCTTATTTCTGGATTAAATCGTAGTTAAAAACTATAAAATTCTAAAAAAGGTCTATATGAAAATAGCTGTAAAACGTTTTTTTTCAAGTTTTTAAGCGTATACAAACATATAAAAAATTAAATGTACAAAAATTTCTTGCAAATATCATTTATATTTCTACGACTGCAGTCCAAAAAAAAGGAAAAAATCATTTTATCACAACTTTGTTTAGTTACTTCACGTGTAGAATATAATTCGTTTTCATTATAATCCGATTGTAGTCAACCTTACTTCTATTCTGTCTTTTTTAATGGCACATTTTTACCGTCGCTGAAAATTTCTCAATATATTTAAAGGTATTTTTCGCTACTTTGTGAATTTAATTGTAGTTAAAAGCTATAAAACTTCTATAAAAGTGCTATTTACCAGAAGCTATTAAACGTTTTCTTTCAAGCTTTAAAGCGTATACCTACAAATAAAATTTTTTACATCAAAAAAATTTCGCAATCATTATTTTTATTTTGACTACTGCAGTCAAAATAAAGAGAAAAAATCATCTTATAACAAATATTTTTGCTTCTTACACGTCAAGATATCAATTCCTTTTTAACGAAACTCGATTGTAATAAACCTGACATCTGTTATGTTTAGTTTAAAGTAGCTTATTTTACTGTCGCTAAAAATTAATTAATATATTAAAAAAGAAATTTACGCTACTTTCTGGATTAAATCCTAATTAAAAACTGTAAAATTTTTACAAAAGTGCTATAAAACAAAAGCTATAAAACGTTCTCTTTTAAGTTTTAAAGCGAAAAATATAAAATAAAAAGTGTTATGTCCAATAAATTGTAGCAAATATCGTTTATATTTAAAAATCTGCAGTTTAAAAAAAAAGAAAAAATCATTTTATTACAACATTTTTTGGTTACATAACGTAAAGAGTTTAATCCTTTTTCAACGAATATCGATTCTAGTCAATCTTGCATCGATTTTGTTTAGTTTCAAATAACAAATTTTTACATTTGCTAAAAACTTTTTAATGTTTTTAAAACAAATTTTCGCTACTTTGTGGATAAAATCGCAGTTAAAAACTTTAAAATTCCTAACAAAGTGCTGTTTTACAGAAGCTATAAAACTTTTTCTTTTAAGCTTTAAAGCGTATATTTACAAATAAAAAGTGTAAAGTCCTAAAAAATTTGAAAAACATCATTTATATTTCGACTACTGCAGTCACAAAAAGGAGGAAAAATCATGTTATTACTACTTTTCAGTTACTAAACGTGTAGAATTCAATTCTTTTTTAACAAAACTCGATTGTAGTAAACTTGACGTCCAATCTGTTCAGTTTCTAGTAGCACAAATTTATTGTCGCTAAAAATTTTTAATATATTTAAAAGAAATTTGCGCTACTTTGTAAATTTATATGTAGTTAAAAACTATAAAAATTCTATAAAAGTACTATTAACCAGAAACTATGAAACGTTTTCTGTCAAGCTCTAAAGCGTAAACTCACAAATAAAAAGTGTTAAGTCCAAAAAAAATTGAAAAAATCATTTTATAACAACTTATAATAAATTTAATAAATTTTTTTAATAAATTTAAAAAATTTTCTCTACTTTGTGAATTATATTGTAGTTAATAACTATAAAATTTCTATAAAACTGCTAATTAACAGAAGCTATAAAAAGTTTTCTTCAAGCTTTAAAGCGTATACTGTGACATCTCTGCAGTTAAACGAATAAAAGACGAGTGACCCTGTGAATATTTGTTCTGTTTTTTGGTCAGTCCGTCAAGTCGGTACTCTACCTGAAATCTGGGCTAGAAGAGCCAGCAACTGCAAGGGTAAAGAATGATAAGGTATACTTACCTCTGAAGAAATTGTAACTCGTCTCTTGGAACGAATTTTGTCGATTGAACGGTCGCAGGATTCTGGTGTGATACGGGTTTTTGCTGTTAAAATAAAAATTCTTAATTCACCGGTGACTCTAGAGTATATTCTTCTAAGTTACTCAAAAAAAATTAAAAGAAGATAAATTACCAAAAAAAAATGTAAAAGTCCGTCTCCTAAACCAAATGAAAGTAAAAGAGAGTATTTCGAAAAAAGACTGTTTTCAGTTCTAACGTGTAGAGAAGAATGAATAATGATCTAGAAAAGTAGTCTTAGGCCGTTTAGAAAGAGAGAGTTTTTTGTACAAAAAAAACGCGTGAATACCTATTATTAGAAATAAAGGTTACTAAGTAAATATTCGCAAATTAGTCATTTCTTTTTTGTCGGTTTATCGTAAGCGTGACTCATGAGCCCAGCACGGCTGAGTGGGAGGTACCCCTACTCGCGTCCAAATGCCCCCCTCAACTGCCGACCATCACCAGTTCGTGAGAAAGGAATAGTAATTGTTACATTAACCAAGTGTTAACTAACACAAGTCGGTAATGTAGGTAAGGCAGATTACCCTATAAACGACAATCGACACATGTTTATACTAATATCACATGCTGACAAAATAATAACCATAGATGGTCGTTTATAAGAGTGCTTATAATGTAAGTAACAAAAATTTAAATTATAATATGACAGGAAAATAAATCGCAACTATTGAATTTACATTGGATAGTACGCCTTGCCATTCAGAGTCGTCACTAGGACGTGATACCTTCCCCCTTAAAGGAGAAGCACGAAAGAGTCCATTATTGATTGCTTCGTAAAGCATCAACTCTATTGAAGACTTCCTCTTCTTAAGCAAAATTTCACCATTGTCAATATCTTCGGCATTACCATCATGCCTTGGACAAGCCATCATAAAAAGACGGTTATGTTTATTCGGTGATTTCGACAAACACATCTGATTAGATTGTTCCGCAATAGTTTCTCTGTATGATACGACAGGATCAGACTTTTTAATTAATATACAGGCGTGATCTTCTTCAAGATCTTTCAAACAGATTTCAAGGTGAAGTTCACCAGCACCAGCAATAATGTGCTCTCCAGATTCTTCGATGATACATTGTACCATAGGATCCGAATTAGCAAGACGTTTAAAACCTTTAACCAATTTTGGCAAATCTGCATGATTCTTGGGTTTAACTGCTACACGTACAACAAGAGAAACCGAGAATTTCATAACTTTTATATTATGTGCATCCTTAAACGTAGTAATGATACCAGTTTTGACCAAGAATTGATCCACACCGACAGGTCCACAAATGTTACTAGAAGGTACATCTTCAATGGCCTCAACGTAACGACCCATCATCAAGATAGTACGTTGAATAGCTTTCTCATACAAATTCTCCATCTTTCCGGGTTGGAAGTTCGGTCCCATAATACGAGTCTTCATATCAGTACACACTTTACCAGGAAATACACGTCCAAAGGCATCTGCCATCGGTTCCCACTGCTCCAGCTAAAGTGATGTTTCGGTTATCCGTGGTATTCCCCTTGAGGCCACTCGCCTGCGTGATAGAGTTAAGAGCGAACATCCAAGTGTTTATTATAGATCGCATTAGTAAATTGTTTGATCTATCTCAATTCGGCACTGGTAAACTGTTGTTTCAATATGGTCTTCTAACTGCAACATGCTGAACGTATGTGGTAGTCTTTTTTGGCGTTAGTTTGAGGAGGTTGCAATCCCCTCGGCCTAAGGAGCGAAACGGTGATAATGTTAGCAGCTGCTCCTCCGCAGTCATATCTAAGTAGTGCGGGCGTCGTACAGGTAAATGCGGCCACGACAATGGTGATTTTGACGTACATATTTCTTTGAAACCAATGTTGATTCAATATAAATTTTAATAAACTATATTTGAATGCGAACTAATAGAAACTCGTCTCAAGCTTGTTTAGCGTATCATTGCATGTTTAATGATAGCGTTAAGCAACTCCATATGAGCCTTTCTTAAAAAAAACGAATAGTAACAAATTGTATTATTCTTCGTAACTCAATACGACATTTCCGTAAAAGCTGCCGTAGTTTAGCACGGTTTACCTTCATTTTAATAACAAGAACGATTTTGTCGAAAGTAAATTTACAAGTTTGAATCGTTCATGAAGTTCGAGAAAAATTAGGTGCTAAACAAATTTATAAAGTTACGAGGTTAACCACTAGGTAATAATAAAAAAATTTAAAATTAATTTAGTAGATAGCTTGAGAGGAGTTGAGATTCCTTGAGGTCGAGATTGACTGACTATTGCGTACAGAAGGTATTTATTTTTTTTTTTCAATTTGTTCGCTTGTGGATGCTGGTTATAAATCGTCTATAAGAAGCTATGCATCTCTCTATGTAGTGCTTTTTAGAGTAGAGTGGGTGATTCCCCTACTGACACTTCCTTTAACTGTATATAAAAAGAAAAATTTACTCCAGCACCCATACTTAGTAACTATGTAGGTATAAAAACAATAACGAGTCTCAAAGTATTAGTTAATATTTCTAAAAAGAAGGCTTATTTCGCACAGATTTTCACTTTATCTTTGTGAACAATTCTGGTCCTATTCTTGTAACTAATCTTTACATTATTTTTAGGAAGATCTTCAAGAATTTTGTATAAGCCGGTGTATTGATTTCATAATTTAGATGTTTGCTGCTTTAAAAGATAAACGTTCTGACCAACAACGAGGTTCTGACCACGAGTCTTACGATCATATTAAACTTTGGATCTTATTTTTGCTCCAATTAAATTCTGTCTTGCCATCACTTGCGAACAACGTATCTTATGAACTAGATCCAGATAATATTTAAGATATGTGTTATCAAGATTTTCATTCGTATGTTCGTTTTCGGAGGGGATATTAGCTTGTTTACCAAAGACTAGCTCAWGAGGAGTGAATTTYGTCCCCTCATGCATGCTTGTATTATAAGAGAACATAGAATGTGTGAGCCATTCATCCCACTCTCGATTCTTTTTAATAAAATGTTTCCAATATTCGATCAAGATAATGATTGATCGCTCTAAAGAACCATTTGATTGCGGATGGAATGCTGTAGTTCTAATCTGTTTGCATTTATACTGTCGTGTAATAGACTTTAAAAGAGAACAAGTGAAATTGGTCCCCTGATCTGTAAGTATAATTTTTTGGGCAACAATTATAATACAAAAATTTTGAACCATTCCATTCGCAATATCGACTGATTTTGCTGCCTTAAGAGGTACAGCAATAAAAAATTTAGTCAAGAGGTTCTGTATAGTAAAAATAAATTTGTTACCAGTTTTTGTTTCTGGTAATGGTCCGACTATATCCATAGCAACCTTGTCGAACGCAGCTCCCGGCTTATCGGTGATAATCATCGGTTCTTTTGACTTTATTCTGGATAATTTTTTTATTTGACAACTTTCGAAGTTCCTCACGAACTCTTGAATATCTTGTTTCTTGTTCCTCCAAAAATATTTTTCGCGAATTCTGGCATAAGTTTTAGTAACTCCCTTATGTCCACTGACAGGCGAGGAGTGGCATTCGACATGTATTTTTTCTCGCTTCTCTGAAGAAGGAATCGTCACCTTTCCAGCACAAATTATAATTTTGCAAGACTCGCAATCGAAAGCGTTACTTAATTTTCTTTGAACTTGTTGCCATGATATATTGTCAAAGTAAAAAGTTTTTGCTATGCTAACTGAGGTGAGACCCAATTTGCGTGTAACGGCGAGCAATGACTCCAACGCCTCTATCAAAATTTCGTACTTAACGCTATTTGCACAATGTTCCTTTATTGGAATAGTAATTAAATGAAACCTGCCAATATTAGTAACTTTAGCACGTGCTAAAGTCAAGTCTTTAAGTTTGGGCAGAAGTTTCGATTCGCTAAGAAGTTTTGCACCCGCGTCACACGGCGTGGCTTCTAGATCAGTAAAAATTACTAGATTGTCTTTTCGTAAAATTAATGGGTCTCTTGTTATACCTAAATTTGACGTAAGCATTCGCATGTGAGTATCAACGCGAGCTCGCGACGGGGAACAAAGAATATTGTAATCACTCGTACTCCCCGTGTCAGAGCTTACGTCGTCTGTCTCCCCCGTATTAGTCAGAGATCCAGTCAGGTCGTTAACCTCACCAGGTGTTACGTCGAGGACGCCTGTATCGTCTATACCGATGTCAATTTCACTGTCTTCGTCATCAGTCTGATTTTCTTTAGGTTTAAATTGTATTAGGCGGTCGCCTGAGTCACTTGTATCCACAGGTAATACCTTGCCGACTTCCGAGGGGTTTCTCGATAAAGCGTCCGCATTTACATTTGCAGAACCAGGTCGAAAGACAATCTTGTAATTGTAATATGCCAATTTAAGACTGCACTTTACGAGTCGTGAAGTGCGGTCCTTGACCGATTTTAGCCATACCAGAGGTCGATATTCGGTAACTAATGTAAATTCTCTACCATACAAATAAGGTCGGAAATAGTTTACTGCGTAAACAATTGCTAGCAGTTCCCGCTCTATGGTAGAGTAATTAATCTCTGCTTTGTTTAATGTTCGAGAGCAGTATGAAATGGGTAAATCTTTGCCGATTGGACCCTGGCTTAAGACTGCACCGATCGCGTATCCGGAAGCATCAGTTGTAAAATTGAAAGGTAATTCAAAATTTGGAAAGGCTAAAATTGGTTCTTTACAAAGTATGTCGCGCCGCGAACAAAAGCTATTTCCCTGAGTTTGTCCCCAGACGAAAGGAACGTTCTTTTTCAACAAGTCAGAAAGGGGCTTTGACAATTTAAAAAAGGCAGGTATGAATCTCCTGTAATAGCAAGCGAGACCTCAGAACTCTCTGATTGATTTAATGTTTCTTGGTCAAGGAAATTCCTTTACTGCCACCACTTTCTTAGGATCTGGCTTTACGCCATCTCCACTTATTATATGGCCCAAATAA